CAACCTTTTGGGTGGTAAAGGGTTTAGCCTTGCTGGCATCTCCAGCTGTTCTCCCACAGACCACGGGTGGTGAGGGGGATAAGCTGGCAGCCGCCCTCCCTCCACTTAGGGCAGTCCTCTATACTTGCCAGCGTCCACAAATATATGTGTCTTTCAATATATATTTTTAAACCCCGTCTCTCTCTTGTCTGTTGTCTTCCTTGCGTTTTGGCCTTGGCTGAGAAAGAAGCCCGCTTTAGGATGCCAAAAGATGGCGCTAACCCGGCACCGGCCGAGAAAGTTACTTTTTAAAAAAGAAATTAGTTAATAGTCCAAATGTAATGAAACTCCCAGCCGGGAAACAAATCCAAACAAACACACACGGATCAGCCACTGGTCTCGGTACAGCAGGAGATGTGTTGGAGTACAAGTCCCATCATCCCCAGCCTCCAAGGATGGGTGCTGTAGTCCAGAGGCATCCCAGGAAAGGTCTCACCCCCCCCTTCCAGAAGTTGGTATGCCAACCTTTCAACGCCCTTGGTTTTTTTTTTTTAATCTGTGGGAATGTCAGCTGGATAAAATTCCTCACGAATCATTAAGGAAACCTCTAATGATAGCTTGCTCTAATGAGAGCAATACCTGCCTAATTAGCATGGCTTTTAAGGAGCAGCCAGGGAGATCATCTGCTCAAGATTTGGAAATTTGAATCCCAAAGGCCATTAGGAACCAGAAAAAAGTAACTTCGCCTGGAGGCACAGAGACAAGCCCCCCCCCCCAGTATTTGGATAGGGGTCCATCCAGCAGAGGAGGGGTGATGGTACAGACACCCCTTTCCAAGCTGCCCCAGACATTCATTTGTGTGTCGTTTTTTTTTGGGGGGGGAGGCCATTGAGCACCCACCCCCACTGGAAAAAAGGGGGGTGCTATTAATTTTCTTTCCTCCAAACACACTCTGAAGCTTCCCATTGTGGACTGAGTGGCTGAGTGTCAAAGGCCAACGGATCAGATCCGATGAGAGTTGGGGGGCTTGGCGGGGGCTTTTCAGATGGAAATGTGGGCAGGCGAGCGTGTGAACTGGGGGGGCGGAAGAAAAAGAAGCCAAGGGGGCAAGGAGGGCGGTGCTGGTGGTGGTGACGAGAAGTCCCATCATCCCCAGCCTGGGGCGGGTGAATGAGTGCTGTAGTCCAACGGCGGCTTCGATAACATCCCCTCCTTTTTTGGGAGACTCCTTACACTCTTAAGCGGGACTCTGAATCAGACCTCCCTCCGAAGGGAACCCAACCATCCAGAACAGAGGAAGCCCCCCCAAGATGACACATCCGATCCCCCCCCCTCAAGCTTCTCTCAGGGACCCCGCCAGGGAGGGGCGGCCCTGCTGACCCCTTGCTCTCACTTGGCTTTCCGGCTCAGACGCTCCTCCTTCAAAACAAGTCAAATGCAAATATAATTTTTTTGGGGGGGGGAAGGCCTCCAGGATGGCCGTGACCCGCACTCAGAGCCTGTAAACACACACACATACACACACACACACGCACGCGATCCAACTGTCCTTTTAATCGACAGGGACTGCAAATCACAACCCCCCCCAGTCTCCCGGCTGTCCCCTCCTGCGGCTTCTCCACCCACCTTCCCTCGGCCTCACTTTCCTGCCAGACGCCCGCCCGCCCTGTATTGATCGGCCTGTCCCAGCTATTTGTCTGTCTGTCTGTCCACCCTCCTTCCTCCCCAAGGGATCTTCCCTGTCCTTGGGGGGGGATCCCCTCCCCCCACCCCACTTTTCCAACCCCCTACACCTATGCTGGCTTTCTCCATCCATCCATCCACCCCACACTCAGCTCATTATTTCCCAACCTCTCCCCCCACCACCTCTTGCAGGCTTCCCAGGGGATGGGGGCGGGCGGCCCTGGCTGGCCCCCAGGTGGACGAGCTGACCCACAGGTTGAAGGTCAGTCTCTCTCCCGGAGACCCTCTTTCAGATTCAAATGAGGGCCAAAGGGCTTGGTGGGCTAAGGTCAAGCTTGACTGGAGAACAGGATGAAAAGCCAGGACTTGGGGAACGGTGGGGTGTGGGCGGGTTTTGAGTAGACAACACATTTTCCCCCTCCTATTTCTATTTCTATTGTTTTCCCTGCCTCGGGGAGGGGGGGCTGTACAGAGAAACAGCAAAGTCTGCTACCCCCCCTCAAAAGACCCCTACAAAGGACTGCCAAAGCTCCCAGGTCTTTGCAGGGGGCATTTTTCCTGCACCTTGGTCTCCCCCCCCCCTGCCACCAAAAAGGGAAAAAAATCAACAGCAAAAAAACGACGGAATGGTAGAACTGAAAAATCAAAAGGGACCCTGAAGGTCATCTAGGCAAACCCTCTCTTCTGCCCATGTAAGGAACCCACAGAATCCCCTTTGCCGGTCAGCCACCTAAATAATGCTCGTTTTAAAAATATAATTAATACTGCTTTCCCCCCCTTACTTTCCTCCAACTTGGGACTAGGGGAGCAGCCCAAGGCGATTGGGGGGGCGGCCCCATGCACCTCCCTTCTACAGCCCCGCCCTGCCCCTTTGGGCAAAGGTCGCATCCTGCTCGCCCAAAGCCCTCCGGAGCAAACCACAGACCTCATCCCCGTGGATTTCCTGCTGCTCCTGCAGTGGGCGGCCCCTCCCTCCTTGGCAGCAGTGGGGAAATGACTGACTACAACTCCCAGAATCCCCTACCGTAGGGGAATCCTGGGAGGTGCCGCCTTCACAGAAAACCTACCCTACACCTCCGTTTGCCTTGCTGGGGACTGAGAGAGGGAGGGAGGGAGGCAGACCCACACAAAACTGAAGAGAGGTTGCTAGTCCCTGGCGTTTCCCCACTGCTTGCTTTGAGGACCCCTATCTGAACAGAGGCTTCTCCCGCTCTTTCTGGCCCAGAGGGGTGATTTGGGGGAGGGACGCTCCCTCCTTTCCTTGGGGAGGGGGCTCTCTTCTTCCTTCCTTCCTTCCTCCCCTCCCTCCCCTCCCCTCCCCAACATTCCTGGGCTCAACCAGGGAGGTCAAATGTCAAATTGACTTGAAAAGCTCAAAGAGCAGAGGTCTCCGTGTGTGAAGGGAACCGGAGGAGCACGTAACGTGGCTTGACATCTCCAGGAGCCACAAGCTTCCTTGACCCACAGCGACCTGGGCCCCACCTCCCCCGATCCCCCCCACCCCAAAGAAGCAGCCCCTTTCCTTCTCGAAAAGGGCAGCTGCCTTGGGATGGGTGACCATCCGTGCAGCCTAGCCCCTTGGCAATAGGCGTCAGGGGTTTGGGGGGGGCATCCGTAGAGAGCAGGACATTCCCTTTTGAGTTCACGGCCGACCCGGGAACCTATTCCAACCCCTACCCGCCCCCCCCAAAAAAGGATTTAAAAAACAGTCCAACGGATCGGTAAATTCGATTCTACCTATTCAGGACTGAGCGAAGATCAGGGGTTCATCTCCTGGTGGAAAGGCGGCCTGATTTCTCCTTACTGCTTATAAAGTGTCCCCCTTAAAAAAAAAAAAACAAGAAAAGGCAACATATCAACACTGTTGACAAAAAGGAGGAATGAAATAAGCAGAATAAGAGGGAAGACCAACGGCAGACACAAGGAGAAACAGAGGGAGAAGGTATGGTAGTCACAGCCCAAAGGTCTAAATGTATTTTTCTTTCCAGTCCTGGTTTTCTTTCAACGGGCAGCTTAAATAGCTGTCATCTACTTTCCTGAGGTTTTTAGCGTCACAACCGACTGGTGGGGTAGACCAGTCTAGATGGGTGTCAGAAAGGGGGGGGCCTTCCCCGCTCCTTCCCCAGGGCAGAAACAATAAAATCTTCCCAGCCTTCTTTAAGGTTTGCTTGGAAAAGGCCACCCAGCTGGTGAGGAGGAGAAGGAAGGGGTAGTTTGATCTGCTCCTAGAGAAGATTTTGGGGGCTCCCCCCGCCATCCTGGACCGCCTGGCCAATGCAAAAAGGGGGGGCCAGGAAGGACATTTTGGCCCCTTCCCCCCAACATTCACCTATCACCCTGACTCTACCCTGTTTGGCTGGGCTAAATCAAATTTATTCCCAAGACTGATTTTTTGGGGGGCTGCTCTTGTACCTATTGATTTCTTGGAAGGAGCCTTTTTTTTCTGATTGGTTTAAAAACAAATTTAACTCCCACTCAGCTGGGGAAGCCTCTTAAGAGCAGCTTAACAAATTTTTTTTTTTAAAAAGTAACCACCGCTAAGAAAATTCCGAAATAGCCAGGCGGCAAACAGAAATCAGGGCAACAGAAAGCAAACGGGAAAGAGCCAAACTGGAGATGTCCAAATTTTGGGAAACAAAGAGCTTCAAAGGATATATGGAACAGCAAATTTTTTTTAAAAAAAAATCTCAACCACCAGCTGGGCCATAAAAGCCAGGGCTGTGTTTTCGGCTGTGCTTGGCTTCCCAGTTGACCTGGGTGAGCTTTTTGCCTCTCCCTCCAAGAGATTCCACCGTTTCATTCCTTCATGCCTGGCTAAACATGATTTCACTGGCCTCCTCTTTTATTTTTTTTCCCTCCCCCAAGGCGAAGCTGGAGTTGAGAAGATGCACAGCTGGAAAGTCAACTTTTTGGGCTTTGAAACCCCAGGAAGGCAGAGTCCGAGAGAAAAATAGGAACACTTCTCTCGGTCCGATTGTGGTCTCAGGGCCCGCCGGTTACCCAGGCAGAGAACTCAGAATTGCTCTGGCCTGCTCCGGATCACTCTCCCAGCAAGGAAAAACAGAGATTCGGGTTTACTAGAAGCACAGCTTGTCAGATCTTAGATCTGTGCTCTGAGAAAAGGAGTTAAATCTAGAGGGGAAAAAAAAGAGTAGAATCGGCCAATCTGTGTTGTAAATAAATAAAAAAAAAGCAAAAAACCCAGCAAGACCAAAATTGATTTGAGAACAAAACTCAGCGATAAGAGTTTTGATCTGTGGTCCCTGATCTGTATGGTCCCTCTGGAAAAAAAGGCCACCCTCAAACCCCAGAGAGTGGTTTGGCTGGCCAGGACTGATGGCCCCAGGCCCTGATGGATGGTCAACCTAACCTGGTCAACCTAACCTGGCTAACACCCCCCCATTCCTTTTTAAAGCAACCCTATCTGGGAAACCCTGAGGACTAGCACCCTGCTTGATTTTATTTATTTATTTATTTATTTATTTTTGAGCAGACCTGTAGCCCAGTCAAGGAGCCCCTGAGTCCCAGGGCTCCACAGAGTAGATAAAGTAGCCGACCACTTGGGATGGGCTTGGCTTGGCTGGAAGCCGGAGAGTTGAGAACCTGGATGCCAAACGCTCTCCCCTCCTTCGGAAGGGCCTGGGTGCACCCTGCTTCCCCCGCCCCCGTTCTTTGCTCTGCTGGGCAAAGGGCAGTTGTGCGGAAGGGGAGGAACCTGGCGCAACAGTGCAGAGCGGTCAAGCCGGGCCTGAACAGGTGAGGGGGAGAGACCTAGAGCCGGTGGACTGGCCCTCGAGCTTCCTAAATCCTCATTCGGCCTGCGACCTGACTTTATGTCCTTTGGCTCACCCCTCCAATCTCTCTCTCTCTCTCTGCTTGGCCTACCTCACAGGGTCGCTGGGAAGCTAAAGCTAAAGTTCCAGGATAAAACCTCCTTTGCGTTCAGCACCGATCCGCGGGAAGGGCAGCTCCCCGTCTCCACTACAAGCTGTTGGCAGAATTATGGCACCCAACGTTCACGGGACTAGGGCTATTTTTTTTTCTGGGGCGGATCGGGCCCCCTCTGGGCTCTGCCTTCCAACCCTAAATCCCGGGGGGGGGGCTCCTGACCTTGGCGAAAGCGTGGGACCGTTCCACCCCACTCCCAAGATGCGCCCCCGGCAGCGCAGGACGGAGAGGGCTCTCCGCGCCTTTGCGCGCTCCTTCCTCTCCTCCCCGGCGCGTCCCAGCCAGGGCAGCGGGGGGTGAGTGGGAGGGTGCGCTCTCTGCACGCGCCCAGAGGCTC